TTTTTCAAGCACTGAGGAAATGCATAGAAATGAAAGATAGTTTAATAATAGCTGGATTACCTACATACATACATACATACATATGTAAGTGCTTTTGCTGCCAATGTGGTAATGTTAATAACTGATTGCAATCATCAATGAACGTTTAATCGCCATTGTCTGTAAGATTGGCTGATTGGCAGTGAGCGAATAGTAGAAAAAAAGACAAATAAAAGAGAGCGAAATAGACGTAACAGGAGAAAGGAGAGGAATATTAAATATCGAATTTACGCTTAAGACGAAAGCTTGTTCATCTACATAGTCTGTAAGATTTGTAAATCATAGACTTAATAAATTAAATGAAATGAAATTAAAGGAAATGAAATGATTAAAGTATGAACCATATTTTTATAAAAAAATAACAAAATTTTCTGGCAATCGCTCCAACCGAGGATCGAGAAACTGGGACCTGCAGGCTTGTAGTACGCAGCCCTCACCACTCGGCTACCGTGGATGAAGTAGTAAAGCTATGCTGGTTGGACGATTGTCTTCTAGCGTTATCGATTGCTGTTGCGAGGAAATGTTTCATTAGCTCCTCAAGAAGCTTTGCCTGCTCTGTCTAATTTACATAGATGACGATGGTTGAGAACCGATTGGATTTACCTTAACTGATTAATATGATCTGCTGTTTTGTTTTGCGGGATGAAGTTCTTCTATCGCAAAGAAAATGAGTTCTTCCGCCATTGAGGGCAGTTACTGCCTATTTAGGCAATACGTTGCTTGCAGAAATAATTTCCTGTGCGGTTAGATCCGGCCTTGGAGCCATGCAACTGAGATTTTTCGTGACAACTTTCTTGACAATATCGCAACTGTTGTAACTGATGTCATTCCGTTGCTCTTCCCATTTTCGATTTTTACTAGCTAATATCACAATCTTCAGGTTTTTTGCGGCTTTTTTTGTAAGTTTCTTCTTCGTTTGGGGCAGCTCTCGAGCAGTGAATTTTCGTGGCTTTAAAAATTTTCACATCTGTTATTTTGGAAAAAAGGATATAATCGGTGACTTAACGTTTTTTGGGAGACTATTTTAGGACCTAACACGACTTTTCGAGTTTCATTTCAAACCTTTCGCGAAATTTGGGGGTTTTTTTAATCATTCGTGGCTTTAAGGTTTTTTCAAATTTTCCTCCAATTTGCATTTCTGAAATATTTGCACAACATCGCATTACAATATCCACTTACAAGCCAAGATCACGTGGCTCTGTGTGCAACATGCATGTGCCGCCCTGTAATGCGCCGCCCTGTAATGCGCCGCCCTGTAATTTTTCTTGCATATTTACCTCTATTTCTACTTATTATTACAATTTTTCTTCAAATCATTTTCAAATTGCAAACATATCTTTGGCGTGTAATAATGCACCCGCAAAATATTTGCATTCAATAAATATGAGTATCTCTTCGACTTTCGTGCAACATTGTGGCTGCGTGTTTTTTCCAACACCTTACTTAGTCGTACATTGTGCCGCATTTCGTGTTGTTTTGCGATGATTGGGAAAAAATTGCAACAAATTTTCGCGCTACACATATGTAGCATGCATGTACATATGTATGTATGTGCCACAAGTACCTAACAATGTATGCAAATGAAAATGAAAGTAAAGTTAGTTACATATTTTCTATTTGCTAAATTTTAATTATCACTAATGGCAGCTGCTGCTGCTGCTGGTGCTGGCGTTTGCTAGGCTAGGCGTAGGAGTTGCTGGTGGTGTTTTTTTTCTAAATTTTTTGTTTCAAATTTTGTATTTATGATTAGTTTTTCATTGTCATGCAACTCTATGTCGAATGTAATTAGAAATACTAATTAGCAGCGCGCAACTTTGCTTGTGGCAAGGAAATGCAAAAAAAGAGGTCACTGACTTATGAGCCAGTGAGTGGAAAAGCATGAATATTGAAAAAAGTGCCTAGCTGCCGCTTTATTTTCAGATAATTAGAAAAATTTTTTTAAATATTTGTGAGTGGATTTCATTTAATAAACTCAGTGGCATATTAATGGAATTTTAGCCAGCTCCAAAATGAGGACTTCTTTGAGCAAGAATTCAATATTGACCTGAAGATAATAATATTTGCAATAAGTAGTTATAATTTATGGCTTAGAAAGCTAAATTTTGTAGGAAAAAAAAGGAGCAAGTTGAAAGAAGTAAAAATGGCATATGGAAAAGTAGGTGACTAAGAGGAAACTACTTACATATATAACCATTTAAAATTTATAGTGAGCTATTTATAATTTATAGCAAACCATTTAAAATTTATAGCAAACTAGTTAGTATAATATCAACACATTTGACTGCTACATAAATAACATTGTTGGGTAATAAAAAAAAAAAAACAATTATTAAAAGCTTGCATACAACTAAAGACCAAGATTAAGTACATAATAAAATAAATTAATAAAACAAAGCACCACAGCAGAGTTATACAATCGTCACTAAACAATTAAGGGTACATAAAAATTACTATTAAAGCGGTTATAACATATTTATATAAAAAGTTACGTTTCGTTAGTTAATCGGAGTGTCTTAGAAAGCCACAACAAAAAGGTCAGTTAGTGGGTTAATAAGTATGAATATATTTACACGTTTTGGCTAAGGTTTTATGACTCCTTTCAAACTTTAATGGCAGAAA